CCATAGAATTATTAGCAGTAAACACTCGTCAATTTATAGAACTCAGAGACAACAAAATAAATTATGTTACATCACTGTAGAATATTAACGCAAACTGATGACGCAGACTGCGACACCGATGATGGTATGTAGTTCCGGCGAAACTGACACATGATGAAGGAAATTTTAGATTCGCTCTTGATACAGTTAAGTTGAAGCATGTAGTTCTAGGCTTACCCAAGAGTATTATATTTCAATATATCCTCCATTTATCATTCTAAGTTCCAAAGGATTCGGATACACTTGGGTCTGGACGTTTGTTGCTTTATAGCCATTTTGAATTCATTGTTTTATTTATGAATAACAATTTGTTAGTATAATGGTTTTTAGGTTCACAATGAGGAACGAAATTGAAATTTATGAAAACACCATCTTTGTGTCGTTTCGTATCGATTTTGGTGGAAAAAGAATTAAAGAAAATAAATGTCATCCATTTAATCCCAAAGCATTAATTGTCGTACTCATGTATATATGGCATAAATAGTGAATTAAATATTGCACAAAAAATCAGGGCAGATTTATAAATTACAAATACAGGATATATTATTTTATAAAATTTATAAAATTGTTGGTGGACTTCAATATTTATTGTTATTAATTCGTTTTATTTGCAGTTTTCTCGCTGCAGTGGCGACTGTTTGCTTACTAAATTTTGGATTAATTTTGTTACCCCGAATACGTGATCTTGCTGGCGCCTATAACAACTTTATTGGGTTGAATAATAATCAATGGTATGAAGGCAAACGTAAAACGGAGTCTCCATAGAATTTAGCAAGGTTGTCGATAACATACTCAACTATTAAGTACTTACGACAATTAACCCTTTATATATGATTCGTCAACTTATATAGCACCTGATTTGTTCGATACAGTAACTGGCATTGTCCATTACAATAATCGTTTGGTAATTATTTTTATTTTTTCATTAGTTTCTGCCTCACTAATATTCTTTGCAAGTGGAAATTGTGTCATCGTATATCCGTTATCTGATCCTGCATACCATGATTCTTTCACCCCCTGAAATTAGTTCGTTAATATTACAAACACCAGAACCGTCAGTCTGGCTCTGTTTCGCCATATCATGCGTATCGCACAAGTTTTCGTCTAAATAAATAATAGTTTTTTATCATCTCGGTGTTTTTTGTGGCTTGTAAATACGCATATTTCCATTTTGCTAATCAAGATTGCCTGCCGAAACCCTAATTCAATGTAAACATTTTATGGATTTTTTTATCGCTTTTGACAATCCTTGTTGGGAAAAACATGGAAGAAATTTTCCTCATCGTAGTCTGCCTCGATTTTACTGTATTATCAGGTAAATTATAAGAATTCGAGAATAAATGTTCAAATTCAAGTTGTATAAAATGTTATATTCTGTTGTCTTTAATATCGGCGATACTACACTATTGTTGTTAAATTGTATTAGAATCATGAACAGTTAAAAATCTTGACATGAACAAGCGATGAAACCAAATTACACGGGTGGGTGGAGTAGTTAAACTTTTACAGATTTCGGATTAACAAGTCATTAATAAACTCATATTGCACTAATTACGCTCGTTGAAAGGACCCTGATGTCAATTGCGATTCATTGTTGTCGAAACAATTGCTGTTTGATGAAATTAGATACTAAATTTAAGTGGAGCTGCTGACGCACTTTGGGGTCATTTGATGTGGGCTAGAGGCTCCACTACTTTTTATCGGTCACTTTGCGCTCATTTGACCTAGGTCAGAAGCCCCACTACTTTTTGTCGGCTTCAAGGCGCTTCTGACACCGTCGTTTCGCCCCATTGAACCTTCGGGCGAGTTCCTCCCGCTTCGTTCAAGGTCGTCAAACCTAGGCTCGAGTCGTTGCGCAAACTTGCTTTATATATGAATGAAACAGGTAAGTGCAGTCAGATCTAAGGCGTCAGTTTAAGCCCCTATTCTTGAAAGAGCGGGGGCTCGAATCGCACACCTGCCAGTTTTTTTTTTCACCAATTTATAAACTAAATACCAAATAAAATAATTAACTCTAGTCAGCTTGGCCGAGCGGTTTAAGATGGCAGCTTCAAACTCTGATACTCGAAAAAGAGCGTGAGTTCGAATCCTACACCCGACTTTTTTTTCCTCTGCGTTTTGATTTCCGGTAGAAAAATGCACTTATATAATCGTAAGGTAAGGAAGTATAATAATACTGTCCATCCGACGATGAATGGCGACTTTCATATTTTATGGACGTTCTAGACTCTGGTTTTATGACCTTGAGAGTACGACGCAATAGATCTTACGTTTCCGTCGATGTGGCGTCTGTTCAAATTTTCATTAAACAGATAATCTCTAAAACTACCGGATCGATTGTTGTCAGATTTTTTGATTTTTTGAAATCTTGCAACATTTTGATGTTATCGGAAGCATGCTAAATCATTAAAAAAATAAATCATGTCATCGCAAAATTTTGCCAAATAAAAGTTACTTACATTTTATAAAATAACGTATTCCTATATGTGTGATTTATGAATCCGTATTGAGTTCCGTTTATGTCCCCGCGGCCCAAATTGAAGACGTCATCTTGGAGGAGTCAAAATTTTAATTTTATAAAATCTTATAATTCATCTTAAAAACCGAATGGTTTAAAATCTCGTAAACGTTTTAAGCACGGTAGACGATAATGAAACTTTATTTCCTTCCTCCCCCAAATTGATAACAATTGAGCGGGATTTGTTGGACTGTACTGCAGGGGCAAGGGAAGTTCTATTGAGAAAACTTTCGACCAATTATGATTGTTTCTCCCTTGAAATTAGTTCGTTGAATCAAGCGACATTTAATTACACCACACTATAATACAAGGTCAAAATCAAAATAATAATTCGAGAATAAATGTTCAGATTCAAGTTGTATAAAATGTTATTATTATTGTTATTAAATTGTATTAGAACCATGAACAGTTAAAAATGAATTGACAATATGAATAAACTTTTACACGTTTCAGATTAAAAAGTTATTAATAAATTGATACTGCACTAATTACGCTCGTTGAAGGGGGAATCCGACGCCTGACAGTTTTTTTTCATCAATTCATAAATTAAATACCAAAGAAAATAATTAAGTGTAGTCAGGTTGGCCGAGCTCTGATTTTCGAAAAAAAGCGTGGGTTCGAATCCCACACCTGACTTTTTTCCTCTGCGTTTTTATTATATCGGTTATGCATTTCCGTTTCTATGAATATTACGAAGTAGCAGTTTTGCAATACTGTGGTTTATAAAACCGTATTAAGTTCCGTTTATGTCCCTCCTTGATGACGCCATCTTGGAAATTAGTCAAAATTTCATAACATTTTATAATTTACCTTGGAAACCGAACGATTTAAAATCTAGTAAACGTTTTAACACACCACATATGCATGCTCAAAAAACCTGCCACGTATTATACCCTCTACCTTATCTTCCCAAAACAGCCAACTATTAGCAACATGTGCGTTTCACGATGTAGAAGAAATGATCCAAGCAACAGTTAATTACGCCAAACTTTGTCAAGAATTTCAAACAACAAAGAATTTACCTAACGTTAAATCATGTATTAATATAAGTTGTGATTAAATCAAAAATGTGTTCACAGATTACATCGTAGTGGACCGAAAGTAAACGACGCCACATCACATACAATGCACATATGTACACAAATACAACAAGGCACCTATTAAAAGCTGTCAAAATCGACATAACAATTCGGGAATAAATGTTCAAATTCAAGCTATGAGAAAATAATTCTGACGTAAGAAAATAAGAATAACTAAATTATTATACTCCGATTTCTATCCCATCATGATATTAATTTAACTGTTGATAATTTACAAGGTCCAACAACATCTACATTATTGTGGTTAAATTGTATTAGACCCATGAATAGTTTCAAATCTTAACATGAACTGACAATTTCGCAAACAATAAAAGCGAATTACACGTGTTGATGGAATAGTTAAAATTTTAATCATTAATAAACCGATTGCACTAATTACGTTTGACTGTGGCGTCAAATGCGATTCATTTTTATTTAAACAATTGCCGTTTTATGAAATTACAAGCCAAATTTAACCCACCTTTATTTCGAATTGACTGATTTTCTTAATTTTTTTTGAATTCCTAAATGCGGTTTCGCGGCAGAATTAACGAACTATTATTATCTACTTACTGTTTTGGCAAATATTTTTTTGCGCTAAAACAGTTTTAAAAGCTGCCATTTACGGTCTGTTTACACAGATATTGCCAACTTTAAGTCCACAGGACAATACAATTTTAATAGTTTAATTTAGTATAAAATAAACAAATATTTGATTTGATGAAAATAGCAAGCATATAATGGTTATATGGATATCAACTTATCGGTTTTCTGAATGACTGCTTTATCACGTATTGTGCAAACTCTGCCTAGTGAACTGATATTAATATGCAGCGACTGCTCTTCCACAATTTGTTAAAAATTAAATCGTCTACATTAAAAAGTGGTAGCGTGTTAAATATTTATAAACACATTTTTCACGCATACAAAGTGTGCAACATTGTTATTTTTAAAGAATTTATAATTGTAGCAAACACAAAACGTTGTTTAAAAAAAGACGCTTGTTTACTGTTATAATTTTTCCATAGCGCATTTTATCCAGTAATAATCCATTCACGAGCAACATAATTATGCTTTGCTAGGGCCGAACGAACTTTGTATGTTACATTTAAATGAATGAAGTTTCTGCCTATTAATGTGTCGGAATTGTGACCGCTTTTGTTTCAAATCACAACCAAAAATAAACAGTTGAAATGTAAATATAACCGAATTTTCCGCTACAGTTTGCAGAAAATTCGGCATAGTATATTATTGTGCGAACTCAGCATATGTTTTTACATAAAAATAATAATTATATGCAAATCAAAACAATTAATTTACAATTTATTTGTTATTCTGCTTCTGACTCTCGTTTTTTTTTCCAGAGTCTTGCGCGAGCGCTCACGACGACTCCGTAACCTGTCCATTGGAAGTAAGCGAATTAGAACCATTAGAAAACGAGTTGTCCGATCTGGACAACAAAATAGTAGTAGGTAGTCCTTCCGCGTCCAAAATCTTGATTAAATCTTTCTTTGTAGTTATCCGAAAGTCCATTAGAACTACCCGAGCCGAAACTCAGTTCATCCCACCACGAGAACAACGAACTCTCCCCTTACTCAGAAATCGTCGAACCCCTCAAGCAAGAAATAACGAATCTCAGGTCCCAGCTGCAAGAAGCCAACTCCAAACTCCTCCAGTTGTCCTACCAGAAGAACTACGAACTCGCCGAAGAGGAAACCCTCACCGACAGCAAGATCCTCGAGTCCCCGGAGTCCCACATAGAGCTCGACTGCGACCCCAAACTCTACCCCGACGAGAAGATCGACATCAAGTACAGCAACATCGTGCCTATCCATCGAGCCAACATCAAAAACAACGCCTCGTTCTCCGCCCCCGTGACCAAGGTGGCTGAGAGGATCAAGCTGAAGAGGGCCGCCGACGGACACAACGTTAATCCCAACGATCTGGTCAACAGCGATCTGCCGACAGCTGTTGCCGAACATATTGTCGGGGATATTTTGAGGCAGTGCGATGTTCAGACCGAAAAACAAGCCATTGATATCGAGTTGAGGCGGCTAAATGCCAAACTGGAGCATGCGAGGTCGCAGAACTCGGTTTTGGCTATCACGCTATCGGAAACGAAAGCCCATTGTGACAGGTAGGTAGAAAGGAAATCGGAGTTGACTGTGGTGAAGGGTTGGAATGGCTTCACTCGGGAGGGGGCGACCTTTGGGAGAGGAAGAATTTATATGAGATCGATGGTTTTGTGTTGTTGTCGGTGGAGTATAATGAACGTGTCGGTATTGCGTTGATGAACGTGAAGATGTATAATAATCAGGCGCGTATATTTTTGATAAAAAATAATGAAGTCGTGTTTTGTTGGCGAAAAAAATTAGAGGATTAACAATGTAAACCTAAACACAAAAAAAAGGACAACAACGAAAGTTTTGTAAATTAGTGTAATTAGAGTTGCTGGCGTGTATAACGAGCAATGCGAGTCAAGGAAGGTACCAGAATACTAATATTCTGCTCAAATACTTATTTGTCAGGTATGCCGGCAAGTTTTTACAAATAATTTCGTTATAATTTCCATGTTCCGGGATTCTCTAATCCTGTCTCTTTATTTCCAGGCTCAATCTCTCAATTTTAGTGTTTGCACACTTTCTCCTCCTCTATCTCTCTCTTTCTCTCTTACTGCCCATTCACAATGGACATAAGGCATAACAAGTACATAAAGCTTACATAAATACATAAAGTTGAAACGATGGAAAACGTGTACCCCTGTTCACAGTGGACGAACGTAATTCTTATGCTTATGAACGTTTTATGTAATCCTTGTGTGCGTACACAAAGTTGAAACAAGTTCAACTTTGTGCACGAATTATGTCAAAATTATGTTAAAATCTAGGGACTTTTGAATGCTGCTATTGAATTCCCTTTGACAGTTGGCACTTGGCACTTCACACCTTTGATTATATTATATAAATTATAATCAAAGCTTCACACTGCGAGTCTGTTCTGTACTTCGAGTTGTCAAGTTCGAATATCGTATGAAATTGTAGGTTAGATATTTTGATTGACTCAGTTTGAGGTTAGCCGTTTCTATGTTTAGCCAGGAGTTATTCCGTTCTGCGTTTGCGCAGTTTAACAATTCTTACAGAGTTCACTCTGTCCACTGTGAACGTAGATAAGCATAAGCCAGACACAGACCAAAAACGTAAATTATGTTATGCGCTCGTTCTTATGTCTTATGTCCATTGTGAATGGGCAGTTACAGTACATTCTGTAAAAATTTCGATTCCTCAAAATTCGTCTGCTTAAGTCATGTCTATTTTCTTTTCTGTTCTATTTTCTCTACAAGAAGACGTAAAACCTTCCTAGTACTCCGAAAATGTTAGATCGGAACTCTTTGTCTCTGAGTATGTGTTGTGTCTTACATTTGTTTATAAAGAAATATTTATGTACAAAATAAGGTGAGTAAACGCCGTAACAGCTTGGATTTTGATAATAACCTAAATTATTATACATTATTATTTTCTTATCATTGAAACTCAACCCAAATTTAATATTTTGCGTTCTCCGTCAATATTGTGCGTGGAAAGTTTTGGAATCATATTTGCAATATCAAGAGGTCAAACACCAGAACTGCCTGAACTGGAACGCAATTTAAGGTTATCAATTTTTTTTCTTCCTAAATATGAGAAATGGAATCTTGTTTGTGAAAAGCTGTTTCCTAGATATGTGTAGGAATCTGCCCCAAAAGTATTAAACTTCATAAATAATTTATTTCAGAGAAGTGATTCAAAGTTTGCGAAAGTTCACTGCCGATTCCCTTACAAAGAAAAGTACAGAAGTTGTTAGAAAATATAAAATTAGTAATAGTTATTTTTAATGACTTTTAACATGCCAGCAACATTATTTATGTAATACGAAAGTGAAAAAGCCTAAGGTGAGGTCCCTGTGCAGCCCCAAAACTTACTTTTTTCAAAAATATAACTCGAAAGTAATAACGCAATATTTTAGATAAAATTTCATAAAGTTAATTGTTTTCATCCTTTGATCATTGTTCTTATAACACAGCGTCAACAATCAAATAATATTATCAGTATCACTCAAAGAAGGTGTAGGCTGAAGGTGAGATATTTGTGTAACTTGTGGGCTGGTATTTATGACAATAAATCTGTGGTTATTAAATTCTCATAATCATAACTATAAAATTATAATCTTATTAAAATTCACAGTCACATGCTTACAAGACATGTCATAAATTACTTTTTGTTACTGAGAATATAATTGTACCTTCTAACCTACAGAGCTTTCGTTAATGTTTGTTGTCTAGTAGGCCATGGAATTTTAAAATCAGTTGGTACTTCCTGCGCATGACTACGCACTTTTTAACCTAAAATTCCAATACGTCAGAAGTCGAATATAAAAGTGAAATACTTGTAGCCAAACTTATTATTAAGATTCACTTTTTTTTAGATGGTAAATACATTTTTTGTTAATATTTTAGTTTCTCGGAGACAGCAGTGAACTATATTTTTAATAATACCTGTAGATGCTCACTGCGCTCGCATCCTGACCCTTATTTTTGCAGTTTAGTCTCATAGAAGTGATTAAGAAAGAATTTCAGCGAAGCGGTCTAGGTTTTGTCGAGAAATCCTCGAGATTGTTGACATTCTTTAAAAAAAGGTACTAGAACTCTCCGATGTTCTTTCAAATTAAAAAAAGACATCGGGAACCTTTTGATTCTTGACATTAAAAAAAAGACACAAGAAGGATCACGAGAATCATTCTCATTCCTAAAAAAGGCAATCGGGACCCTAAAATTCTTGATATTCTCAAAAAAAAAAACACTAGCAACTCCTGAGATTCTTGACATTCTTAAAAAAAAAGACATGAGGTTCCCGCGGTTCTTTTAAATTCTTAAAAAAGTGACATTCAGAGACCTTAAAATCCTTGACATTCGTTAAAAAAAATATAATTGGGACCCTGAGATTCTTGACATTCTTAAAAAAAAAGACTCTAAAAACTCCTGAGATTCTTGACATTCTTATAAAAAAAAAACACTAGAGGTCCGCGAGGTTCCTCCAAATTCTTAAAAAAGTGTCATTCGGAAACCTTGAGATTCTTGACATTCGTGAAAAAAAAAGACATACGAGATTCCCGAGGTTTTTTCAAATTCTTAAAAAAGTGACATTCGGGGATCTTGAGATTCTTGAATTTTTTTAAAAAACAAGACAAGCGAGACCCTAAATTTCTTGATATTCTTAAAAAAACACTAGGAACTCCTGAGATTCTTGACACTCTTAAAAAAAAGACACTAGGGGTCCCCGAGGTTCCTTCAAATTCTTAAAAAGTGTCATTCGGAGACCTTGATATTCTTGACATTCTTTATCAAAATACGCTAGGTGAACCCTGAGAATCCTCATTCCTAAAAAGACAGTCTGGAACCCGGATCATCGAGATTCTTGACATTCTTTAAAAAAAAAGATAATAGAGGTCCCCAAGGTTCTTTCAAATTAAAAAAAGACATCGAATAACTTTCGATCCTTGGCATTTAAAAAAAGACACAATAAGGATCCCGAGAATCTTTTTTATTCTTAAAAAGACAATCGGGACCCTAAAATTCTTGATATTCTCAAAAAAAAGACACTAGAAACTCCTGAGATTCTTGACATTCTTTAAAAAAAAAGACATATGAGGTTTCCGCGGTTCTTTCAAATTCTTAAAAAAGTGACATTCGGAGACCTTAAAATTCTTGACATTCGTTAAAAAAAAAAAAGAAAATTGGGACCCTGAGATTCTTGACATTCTTAAAAAAAAGACGTTAGAAACTTCTGAGATTCTTGACATTAAAAAAAAAAACATAAGAGATTCCCGCGGTTCTTTTAAATTCTTAAAAAGTGACATTGGGAGACCTTGAAATCTTTGACATTCTTAAAAAAAAAACGATAATTGGGACTCTGAGATTCTTGATATTCTTTAAAAGACATATGAGGTTCCCGCGGTTCTTTCAAATTCTTAAAAAGTGACATTCAGAAACCTTGAAATTCTTGACATTCTTTAAAAAAATAGACAATTGGGACCCTGAGTTTCTTGATAATAAAAAAAAAGGCACTAGGTTCTTTCAAATTGTTAAAAATAACATTTGGGGAACTTGACATTCTTGCCATCTTGTAAAAAAAAGACACTAGAGGGACGCGAGAACCTTTCTCATACTTAAAAAAAAAGACAGTCGGGGACATAGAGATTCTTGACATTTAAAGACAGGCACTAGAGGTCGCCGAGATTCTTTCAAATTCTCTAAAAAATGGCATTCGGGAACCGTGACATTCTTTAAAAAAATGCACTAGGTAGACCCTGATAGTCCCCCTCATTCCTAAAAAAAACCTTTAGAATACGAGCGCAGCGGGCTCGTTAGGGTCTCTCCAACTTTAATATTCACAAATATTTTCAAGATTCACTTTTTTAGACTCTAAAAAAATTCTCTCATTAATCATAATTTGACTTTTCCCAGGGACACCGACAAATAATGTTGAATATCACCTAAATGTGCTCGCTGCACTCGCGTTCTCCACGTTTTTTTTTTTATTTATTTATTATTTATTTTTTTTATTAATTTATTGTCATAATCAAACTTCGGCATCCCGGAAATGATGGTCATTGCCGTTCGATCGCCAGCGCTATTGCAGTCGTGGCCTACAACTTCGGGAATTCTTAATGACAATTACCACTTTTTCTAGGTTTTCCTCAGTTATACGAGTTCTCCTAGATGTTAAAATACTTTAAAAATTACTGTTCAACATAACAATTTTCGTGATGATCTTGATCAGATAAACCCTGGATTGCATCAAACGCCACTGAGCTTGAGACTGCACAGTCGGCCAGCCAAATTTATCATCGCCTGTCGTCGCGCCGTCGTTTTAGACAGAATTTATGTAATACATATAAAATTTTGAGATGATGTCATCAAGTCTTTGAAAGGCAGTGAAAAATAAATTTTGAAATATTTTGGAGTAGTCGATTTCGTAGTTTCTAAGTTAAATTGTAGCATACACAATTTTGATTTTTTCCAAAACTCCAGATATCAAAGTTAAAAAATAAAACCATGTTAATATGAGCCGCATGTTATTTTATCAAATTTAGTACAATTTATCTAGCAAAATTTTGAGATGACGTCATCAAATTGTTGGTTAGGATGATTAGACACGATATTCCTAAAATTTCGCAACAATTCGTCCAGTAATAAAAACTATGTTTTACTATTCTTTGTAGAATTGATGAAATAACAATTATCCTTTTGGATAGAAGCGGCTTCAAAAACCCAAAAAACATGGATTTACCACATAAGAGCAAGAGGTTAAACTGTTGTAAAAGTCTTAAACATGATCCAAACCGATTGGAAATTTCTGGGACAAAAACCCTCCACTTATTATATATTTTATGTAGTTGGTTAAAATAGGTTATTTATCAACTTGTTACAATAAATAATGTACATGGTTGAATGCGATAAGCACACGTTTTTACGTCCATTAGGAAACAACAAACATGAAAATAATTGGACAATAATAAAAAGAACTCTAGTTAAAATATTGACTCTGGTTTATTTATACAATCCAATAAAAGTTCAAAATTGGTTGTAACACACCAAATCAATCAATACACCACAACTTTTTGGTTGTCCCTTGATTTGATGATATAAATTCGCAATTTTGACGAAAAATCATTCGTGAACTGTATAAAATCTGTAGAGCTTTGTTTATAGCTTTGCATTCTAGGAATTTAATCATTTCGCAACAAGCACGTTTCATATTTTACTACTTTTACACTTCAGGTCTTCAAAGTTAATTCCTGAGTCGTGTAATTCATAAAGTTTTGAAACTTAACATGTTTCTGTGTTTGTATCCGGCAAACTAAGAAGAAACAAATAAAAAGTAAAAAATTGGAAAATCGCTATGTTTGCATATTTGAAAAAATAAACAGATTTAGGAATCAATTTGCATTTAAATATCCGAGCTATTCTTAACTAGCTACAACAAAGTTTTCCTTGTCCTTTTTCACTTGTAGTTGCTGAAGTTTTATGTCGGTTTTATCGCTTACTGTCTGGGACATAATATCCCTAAGGAGTTGCGGAACTTCCGCTAAAAAAGTTTTCTAGTATTATTTGCGACAATCACGCTTCACCGTATTGACACGGAATCATAAAAATGAGTCGTATTTTTCAAAATTAAATTTTCAAAAAAAAAATCTTAAATAACTAATGAATATAAAGCGTCTCTTTTGTCGCTGGTAATGTTGACACCGTGATTTATTTTCAAAGTTTGACACACCACAAAGCCTGATGCAATCAATAACAACTTCAGCTACACTCGTTCCTTATTATTAAATCATCGCCTGTAAAAAATAACCGACAATTTTAGCACCATATGTTTTATATTTGTCCCCGAAGTACGCATCGCCATAAATAATTAATTTCAACTTTTTTCAACTCTAGGTTAGCTCTTCTGTGCGGAAAATACGAATCCAACGCAGTGGCCCTCCGCTTGGCACTAGGAATCACCGATCGTGCAATAGAGGCCTACGACGTACTTCTGGCCTTACTAGAGACTGAATTATCTTTAGACGAGAACAATGCAAGTTCTGTAGAAAATCGAGCTGCCGCCGAAACAGTAGCCAAACAGCTTCTCACCCATTTGGACTCATATCAGAGCACGGACGTCCTGCTGTCACCCTGGCAGAACCACGTATACTCTAGTCCGATATCCGAGAAGTATCCAAACCGACTCTAAAGTTACATCTTTAGTAAACTTGCCACTTTTAGCGACGAGCCGTGGAGTCCAGAGCACGAAACAAGACTTAGGGAACACGTTTCCAGGCTGAAAGCCGAGAGGAGCAATATCCAAGGAACTTACGTGACTTTAGAATCCACTCAAGTGGAACATGTACCTGTCAGGCCATCCAGTAGTCAGGAAGCGCGAAAAATGGACCTAGAAATGGCCGTTTTAATGCAGGTTTGTGTTTTGTTCGGGCCGTATTGTTATGTAAATTTTTGTAAAACGCGCGTTTTAGGAACTGATGGGACTCAGGGAAGACAAGGCGGAGCTCGTTAGTAAATTATTCGTGTTAGAAAAGGATAAAAGTGCCATAGAACTCAAGTTGAAGTATGTGGAAGGGCAGCAGAAAGCCCAAGCCGCCGCTTTGAAAAACTTGCAAGGACAGTTGAAGGACACGGAGGCTTTGTTAGCGCTGGCTACGCAGAATAAGGTCGGTGGAAAATCAAGCGGTAATGAGAAAGCTAATTGGTTTGTTATTAGGAGAGGGGTTATTCGGATGCAGAACATGCCCAAGGTGTCGAGCTGGAACTAATGCAAGCACTGGCAAGAGAGGCAAGACTGAAAGTTCGGTTGCAGGAACTTGTTACAACTTTGGAACAAGTGACGAAGAATGCTGAAGCGAGGTTGTTGGAAGGAAGAGAAATCGTGCATGATCTTAATCATACCAATAGGTTTGTAGAAATGTTACTAGTGCTGGGGTTACTCAGTGGACCCACTCATGTTACTAGGGGTGGGATTTTGTTTCTACCGATACGATACGAAGCGATAAATGACAAGGACGAAAATATAAATTTCAAATGCGAAAGAAAAAGACGACTACATTTTATCGGTACCGATATTTTATCGTTATAGAAACAAAATCCCATCCAAAGCACACTACAGCACTAAAAATCGCGCTTTATTAACATTTGTCGCAGTATTTTAGCTGAAACTGTAGATAGAAACAACAAGAAATTCCAGTCCAAATTCAAGAAAATGGAAAACCAGATGTTAGCGATGGTAGAAAAACACAACCTCCAAGTGCAAAACCTCCAACAAAGAATAGCAACTTTAGAAACCCCACCCACAAATAGTTCAGAGAACTCCATCAACTCCGTAGCTGTGTAGTAAACTGTGTATTAAATGAAATATATTTTTATTTGATTTTGTTGATCTCTGTGTTAGCTCTATTTTAATAATGAAGCATTTAATGCAATCCATTTATGTATACCACGAATGTCGAGAAAGTATTATGAACAGTATCAGATACTATAACGTATAAGGGTCGGCTATAATGTGTATGCCTAGCTGTGATTATTAATCCTTGCTGAGTTGGAAATATCATGACTGATTTACAAAGATGATGTCACTTCAACGACTGTAATTTTACTTAAACGAATCAGTAACTGGTCAGGCAGTTAAGTGCTTAAGCTTAATTATTACAAATATTGTTGTTTATAAGAGAATAATATTGAATAGTTTTCCCAAATTTAGTACAAATTTAAATATCCTAAGGTCTTGCCATTAGTGAGATATTTTCTATGTCAAGTATTAAAAAAGAAAACCGAGCATGGTGAGCCTATTTGTACGAGAATCATATCACTTCCGAGCAATAGTGTAGAATAAGAATCAGTAGATACAGTCATAGAAAATAATCTCAGTTTTTTTCGGCTAATTTAAGGATTTTTCACTTACAACCTGAGTAATTGTTTTTTAAAGGTTGGTGTTTCGCACGATGTTTCCGTAAAAAACGCAAAACTAAAAAGTGGAATTTCGTGAAAAAGTGGCAAAACTTAAGACAGTGTCTGTGCTATGTTGACTTAAGTCATTATTCAAGTAGACGTAGTTGCCACATTTACAACCAATACAACATTTTTTATGAAAATTGTGACGTATAAATCAGGTTGTAAATGAATTTTCGCTATTCATTTTAAACAGAAATATTACTTGTGTACATTGATTTGTATTCAGCTGTGTAATTATTATTAGTTATGGAAATAAATATGTTTACAATTAAATGCGCATTATTTCTGCTTCTCAAAAGCAACAATCTTTGTTGTAACTTGGAAAAAAAAGAAAAGTCATGGATCAGTTGCTCCAAAGAGAACCAGAATAGTCCTGTTTTGAGCGTTATGTCATTACACTGCCTGCAATAATCGATTTGCCATTTCGAGGTTAGAGTACCAAATTTAATTTCAATATTCTCGACTCGCTGGCTTCCAAACAACTTTTCTACACGTGATTGTTAATGCCAGTGGTTATTTTTCGTATTAACATTTGTTTTTATTTTGTTAGTACCTATATTTGGACTTCCTTATTACAAAACTAACTTGGATCTAGTTTAACATTCTTGGCAGGAGTTTTCGTGTTTGTCTCTTTTAGATGTATATTCGCAATCATCTAATCAAGTTCATTGTTTACACCAATTAGTTCTTATTAACAGTATTCTGTAGTGTGTTTTTACACCACATTTAAGAATTTCAACCAACAAAGAATTTACATGTTGTTAAATTATGCCTCACTCGATCAACAATTTTAAACAATAAAGAAGTTCAATTAATTACATATACAATACGATCAAAATCAAAATCACTTTGTCTCGGGAATACTGTGCCCTATCTAGAGTGGCGCCGTCGGGAATAAATGTTTGAATTTAAGCCACATAGACATTATTAAACCCGCAAGAGAATAATAATTAGACCTGAAACAAACTATATTAAACCTATAAGAAAATATTAAACCCGTCCCGTTTTTCGAATCTATAAGGTATTAATTTAATCGCAACTTTTCAAGGTCATCCCTCTCTCAAAATAGACCAACTATTAGCAACCTCCAATGAGAAATTAAGAAATGTGCTATAACGTAAGAGCTACTTAAGCAAAACATCAAGAAACTCTAGTTATAATTTGATAAACAAGTAAATTTCGTAACACGTGGTTTATATAAATAATTTCATGACTGTTAAATTGTGTTAGAACCGGGAACAGATAAAAATCTTAACATGAAATGTGAATTTACAAAAAATAAACACAAATTGACACCACATGTTGATATCGTCAAGACTTCACACATTTCAAATTAGAAAACCATTAATAATTAATTACGCGTGTGGAGAAACTGTGGTTATTTTATGAAACTACCAGAGACTTTACAAACTAAATTTAACTAGGTCTGTTTTACCATTATCAACCCCGTAACGTCATTACAAACCTAAAGATTCACCGTAGTTAAAGTTGCACATGGTTGCCTATATTTAACGATTTTCTCGATCTATCTTTCAAATTCAAATTATTCAAACACTGGACTACTGAAACACCACACTGTATTACCATTTTTTGCAATAAAATATTCTACAGCCTTGTCGAAATTGTGTTTTTGCTATTTTATTTAAAAATGGAACTAGCTTACAATATCAGAGTACAATTTTTAATATCTTTCGCCATCAATTGACTTTTTGCTTTAACACTAATCGCTACGTGAAGTCCAAATCTTGGTAGTCTTTTTTCATTTTGACTTAGAATTCTTTTTGAACTCCACTTCACTAACCCCTTTTCACAATCTCATTATATTACATCTTTATCCCACTTCTGACACCAGTATTAGGACTGAAAAAGTTAAGATAAATCCTTAATCGATAACCGAAATTACAAAATTGAACAAGTGTTAAACAATGACCTCACATATGCTTTTTTTACTAACTTAATTGTCAACTCTCGGTTGTCCTACGAATCGCTTCCAAATATTCCGTTCTAAAGCCTTCTTATTTCAGAGCACTCTGGACAATAAATACACTCAGTAACTTACATTTTTAAAAATTTTTGAGCTTCAGTAATGGCCAGTTAGTTGTAAATAAATTTAATTAGTTCACGAGTTCTGTGTTCAACTGTTTCTATGGACTTATAAGGTATAGGTAATTGTGGGTATCAACATTGCCAAAAACATACCATACGACTGAAAAAAAAGTCGTTTAATAGACCATGAAAAATTCAGAATTGTCCCTAAAGTCTCTATATTAGTAATATGTTTAACCGTAATTGTTAACCTAAATAAGGAACGCATTGGTGTTGCCAACAAAATTTTTTTAACGTTGTTTCAATGCTTACTCGACAACTTTTATTCTCAATCACCGTATGATGTTTATACGCAATGAACCAAATTATTATCCCTGTCTAAACAGGGTTCGATCTTCCTTCTGGATGAACTTATTTTCCCTGGGAGGGTTAGCTTGAAGAAGCACTGCAGGATCATTTAAAAAATACGAAAATTCAGATTTTCCGCTTTTATCTGTTAGTCGTCAGTTTGTTGGAAATTTATTGGCATACTCCAAAGATGTAAGGGAATGTCCAAATTTTAAAAGTACATACTTGTATTACAATTATAATACAATTCTGGTAAAACAATCACCACCACCACAATTGGGCTTGTTCTAACAAATTAAAGTTAGTACAAACATTAATTATCCTGGAAACTCTATAAACGACATTTCAGCAATTTGACAGCATATTGATCTAAATACCGGGTGACCCTTAATGATTATAATTTTCTTATCAGGTTGGCAGCGTACTTAAAATTTTATGATGGTATGCCTGATTATTAAAATGAGATTTAGGACACCAAGTCATCTTCTCATCACGTTTGTAAAGCCTGTTAAATGGTCTCGTGTCAATGTTGACAGATGTGAAGTGACATGTTAGTATTGCTGTCAATAATTCAGAATCACCAACACAAACGTGTGCTTCGGTGCTTAATAGGCATCCGGTATTACAAAACATTCATTCCTTCTAGAAGGTAAATGACGTCATTTCAATACAAATTTAAAAAATATATACAAAACATTTTGGTTATACATACAAGCGTTTGAAAAATCACAACCGTGTTAAAATGATCATTTTCCTAAATTATAGATCTTACATCTAACCAGTGGTCGAAATGACGCAGTGGCAGAATTGGCACTTTTTCTAACATTATTTAATTTTATTTGCGAGTTCGCTGTGTATTCGAACAGCTTAATTAAACGAATTTGACATTTTGTATTTAACACTCGGTGCGCGATAATAGTAAGTATCGACTCTGAATCGTTATCGTTGTCACCAGCTGTTTAGTGTGTTAATTAAAATACTGGAAAATAAATCACATTTGCATATTTGGACTGTCTATTTTTCAAAAATTCGTCATAATTCAGTAATTTCGAATCTGGAGTGTTCGTGCCACCAAAAACCGTCACTAATTGACTAGTCTAACAACTCGGTGGCCTGCATATGTGTGATTTTGACGTTTTACTTTTCCAAAATTCGTCAAAATTGGATAAAACTCGATTCTGGTGTGTTGTCGCTACCCAAAAAACTTTTCCAATCGATTATTGATATAATTTTAGTCTACCGAGATAAGTCGGACTTTTGTGATTTGGACACATTTTTCCAAAATTCGTCACAATTCTACCGGTAGTTGTTACGACAAAAAACCATCATTAATCGTGGAAAAATACATTGCATAGGAGCCAATTAGACGTCTTGCTTTTCCAAAATTCGTCAAAATTGGCATGCTTTTTAACCATTCTATGCGGAATATTACTATGACGTTATTATTTCCCAAAAAACTGAAAACACAAAAAACTATCGAGGCATTTCACCAGGCACGTTGGCATTGACTGGACTGACAGCTTAGATTTGTCAAGATATTGCCAACTAGGTTAGCGAAACGCGTTGCCATTTTTTTGTATTATCGATATTTTCGGAAATAAACGTCAAAATAGGATTAATTTTTTTTATTTATTTGTTTGTGTTTTATTTATTTATTCAACGGGATACCCCTTATGATACATACAATTAATGGTGAAACAGAAAGATCCAGAAGAACATAAAAATTAACAATAAACGCAAAAGTAAATAAAAGTTAACTTTCCAAAAAAAAAAAACAAAAAAAAAACAAAAAGACTAAATAACCTCAGTTTAACAAAAACATTTTCTAACATTAAATTAGGATTAAATTTGACCATGTAGTTTCAGTAATTGTGGAAATTTAGCTAGAGATTGAAGCTATTTTCGAATATTCTTTACATTCATGCAGCAGTGGAATCAATAAAATTCAAATGATATAGAAAATCTGTCAAAAAATTAAATTTTGCCAAGTAGTTTTTGCACCAAAAGAAAATTTGACACACTTAATACATATACAGGATGATTAGAATTTTTTGAATTATTTTTACTTTGCTCAACAAACTGTCATAGTCATTGCGCCATATTTTGATCACCCTGCATATTCCTAGGATGATAGCACTGGTAGATTTAGTCTCTACCCAAATTCTTTCAAAAATGCTGAAGTGTGATCTGATTTTACTAGAAAATTTTAAATTTGTCTTTGATTACAGAAGAAATGTATACAGAAAATTACATAGGTCATTGTTTTTAGCAGAGTTTGGCCACATTTTTAAATGGTTTATGTGTCACACGAGTAGCTTGTCAGTTATTGATTACACTTCAGTGAATCACTGGCATGATTTTCCTAAGTTATTATAATTTATTATTTACTTTTTAAAGGAAATAAATGACTACAATTTTATTAATAATCTATAATCAATCACTAAATCAACGTTAATGTTGTATTAAACATTTTAAAGAAGATGAATATGTAATAATAATAGTAATATTGTCTCTCTAAGATTTCAGAAAAATGTGATTTTTCTTAACCAAATCAACAGAGAAATTGTTTTAATGAGCATCCAGTGGAAAAATTAGTTGTTGTAGATGACATTATCAAATTAAGGAAGGGATAAATAAATCGATTAATCTATAATCAATCACTAAATCGACGTCGACCTTAATGTTGTACTAAACATTTTAAAGAAGATGAATATGTAATAATAATAGTAATATTGTCTCTCTAAGATTTCAGAAAAATGTGATTTTTCTTAACCAAATCAACAGAGAAATTGTTTTAATTAGCATCCAGTGGAAAAATTAATTACTGAAGATGGCATTATCAAATTAAGGAAGCGATAAATAAATCAATAAAATTATTTTAGCAAGAATTACTGAAGGGGAAGACTTTCATTTTTGTATTCTGCGAACTGTGAAACGTTAAAAAACAACATTAGATATTCGTCAAAATGATCGTACCAGAATCATCAGACCAGAATCCAAAAAAACAACATTTAATATGAAATATAAGTTTCGATTTTCGAAAATTTTGTTAGGATTTCGATAAAAAAATTTTAGTGACCGACAGTGTGTGTAAGTCTTTTTATTACTAGTACTATTTTTAGTAAACTGACATGTAATTAGGTAACATTTTCTGAATTTCTGAGATTTTCAGAATTTATAACCGTTGTGGACAGTTTTTAAATATTTATTTCAAAAATGAAAACCGTAATACAAACAGATCTGCAGATTATTGGACGAATGTCAATTATTTTGTTTCCTGTATAATCGCCACTAAGCCTAGGTTCTACATACATTGTATTGATTTTTGAAACAATAAAACAACTTATATAGACGCTAGATAGGAATGAAAATTATTCTCAATGTATTTTTGTTATATATTTAGATATACAGTCACTGGATCCTGAAAAATAACTGAAATTTGTGAAAAATGAAAAAAAAATCACAATTTAAAATTTTTTCGAAATTTTTTAGTGAACTGCATTTAAGTTGTATATTGTTAATATGATTTTTGCAAGGGTGTATTTAATTTGTCTGTAGCAAAATTCACAGTAAAATTACACTTATTTTTGACCATACTGTGATGTGTCTCAATCACCAATGTTTTATCAATTGCAGTTTTTTGTAGGTAATCACTGCAAATTTAGAAAATCTCATTTTATGTACACATCATAAAATAACAAAATATTCGCTCAAAAGTTAGTAAAACTTAATTATCAAGTTAAGTAAACAATTATAGTTTTATTTTTCGACAGAAAAAACACGACACACTCTACTATTCCGTTGGGCCCCAGGTCACCCATGGAGTCGGCGCCTATGTAAGGTATAAATGTAAACTAGACCAATATTGCAAACCGGAAGGCGGAGTTACCTGTTATTGGCGCTACCGGACCCCCTGCGGGCCAATCGGACTTCCGGTGTTCTATTCGATTGTGCGCATCCATTCCTGCTAAAGCTCCCGGAATATCAACCACCGCAAACCTGCACAACGTTCTTAATAATTTGTTGACTTATTCAACAATTGCAGCGAAGTATTGAAAGTTGCGAACTAACTTCCACGAAATAGAAACCTCAACCCGGAAATTATGATACAAAACCGGTAAATAATTCAGGAGTAGTTCTACATTTCACTCTTAAAAAAAAAATACATGAACAACGAAAAACACAGAACTGACGCATTTGATGAAAATGTAAGTGTAAAAGTGTTGATGGGTAGTGAAAATTGCGTGGAAGGATTTTTTTACGGCGCTTTCATTAATTTTTTAACGAAATAACTTTCGAGCAGCTAATGAAAGCTGAAATGAATAATCTATCGAAATTTTTAAATAATTTATAATTTTATATGCATGTGAGATCTCAAAGGGGCGTTTCGAATACAACGGGCGTGTCTTCAGCTCCCTCCACTTCGTCAGGTACTAGGAGCTTTGAGCTTTTACAAGTACATCATATTTCCTGTCATCACCGCTTACAGTTGAAATCCTTTCGGCTATTTGGCTGTTGATAGAACACGGCTGGTTAATCTGACTTGCGATTTGAATTTTTCAGTGATTAATTAGGCTTTTTGTTTACTTGTAATGTTGTGAGGATGATTATGGCTTTTGCGACCTAATAAAATAGGGATGAACCAGGATCAAGAAGTTCCGACTGCAGTTAGTGAATTAAGTAGACTTGTAAGTATTGTTTAGTGTATTATGTTTTGTTAAATTGTGCATGTGCGGGAAAATAATAATGTTTTTGCAATTAATTTGACTGTTTTTTAATTTTAAGTTTTAAGAAAAATCGCGCAACAACAAATGCATTTTTGGTGGATGCGCCGAAGCATAATATTGGTAAACACAAAAATTAATTTAAACTATATTGAAAAAAAATTTGAACCACCAGTAGACTAATTATTTTTAGCTGAAATGTTGCAAAAATTATATTACATTCTTGTGGTTACATTGTTGCATTATCAAATTTAAATTTAACGACATATTAAAAATAAAATTCATTGCTTGAAATTTGTTAATTAATTTAACATTTTACTTCAAAATGAAATTACTTGTTTAATAAAAAATACGTTTTATTTAGGCCAAAAATGTGCATTTGTAACATTAAGCATAACTTCGGTATGATAAAATTGATAAGGTTTGAAAACTCATGAAATCTAAAAATTATTTCGGGGGTGGATATTTTATTTTACCTCATCAATAATGAGCTTATAAATTTATAGGGAGTAATAACAAAAATATAACTCGTGTGAAATATTTATTAATCAAATAATAACGTTCAATGAGGAACATGGTATACAAGAAAAGAAAATAAGAGAAAATTTATATGTTCTTACAACCTGTATCTAAATAAATAGTAACTTTTGGTAACAAAATTATAAATGGTTGGTAATAATTTTTGCATGTCATAAAAAAAAATTGCCACAAAGCTATAAAATATCTAACGTTAACATAGATATTACCCAACAAACAGTTTTGAGTGAGATATTGGTGGTTCCCTATAAATAAAAATATTTCTTAGATACATCTTTCTTCCTGGATTGGTATTGTTTAAATATATAGTAAGAAAAAAACTTGGGAATAAATGTCATATTATTTTTCATCATTCTAATACTTTTTCGTGAATTAAATGTTTAAAATGTCGTTGGCAGGATTATTTTTAAGTATTTACGTACTACTGGCTACTTTCATATTTTCTCGACATTTCATGATCCCTAGAGTACGAAAAAATAGGCCTCCCGTTTCCCATCTGCCGTCTGTGTCAATTTTTATTAGACAGATAACCACCGGACTGATTATTCTTAAATTTTATGTGTATTTTATGGATATAGTGTACATGGTAATACGTTAACCAAAATTTGGCTAATTTTTCCCACCAACAATGGAATGACAACATCTCCAAAATTTAGTTAGTAAATGTTATTTAAATTTTACAAAATAAGATAGTCCTGTACTTGTGGTTTATGAATACGAGAGTTTAAAAATCCTGATTTTTGGAACAAAAATGAAAATTGTATATAACAACATTTTGCAATTAAACTTTGAAACTGCATCGAATGACCTGAAATATTGTAAACTCATAAGGTTATCGGAAGCATAATAATCAAAATATTTTGGTTTATGTCCCCTCTTCTTAAAATTTTATGAGACAACACTCCTATATGTGTGATTTATGAATCCGTGTTGAGTTTTTATCCTAGGCATCCAAACTGTTTGGAAAAAAATCTAAATTGTTTACAATTTAACATCGAAAATGCAAAACGGAATGCTATGAAATCTTGCAAACATTTTAAGGTTATTGGATTGAATCGTTAATCAAAATTTGTGGTGTTACAATTTTGCAGAAAAATTGTTCTTCAAATTTACGAGTGCTTTCCCAGTATAAATATCTGATAGGTTGTTCCCCGCTTTTCTTGAATCCCTTCTGACTTTCCTCTAGTCTGTGTAATTTTTTTTCCCAAAGTTATTTTTCCGAAATGTGCAGTCTTTAGAAATCACTTCGAAAAAAAATCAAACTAAAAGGAAATTTTTCAAAAAACTGAAGAAGATAAGCTTTTATAAAAAAAGATTAAGATTAGTCAAACTAGTCCAAAATAGATAATTTATCTTGTGCCTGTTTTATTATATATTTTAATCAAATATGAATTTATTAAACAAGACATTGATTTCTTCCAAAATATAGTATTTCTTGAGCAAAAAACCTTCGAAAGAAATAATATTTCAAAAAAAAGGATTCCTACGCTTCTATTATTTTCATTAAAAATTTTAAAAGTGAACAATTGCAAGATGAGAAGGATGGAAAGAATAGAAATAACATAAAAAGCGGACAAGACAGAAGTGATAGGGAGGACAAAAACAAAAGGAAAGACCTTAAGGACAGAATGGACAGAAGAGAAAGACAATATAGAATGGACAGAAAGGTTGAATCGATAAAAAAGGCAGAAAAGAGCAAAACAATACAAAATACAGAAAGGACAGAAATTACAGAAACAAGAGGACCAACGGAAAGGACGAAAGACCGAAAAAGCGGAAAACACGAAAAGAACAAAAAGAATAGATATACATAAGGGACAGAGAGGATAGGGATAAAGACGACGTAATAAACGAAAAAAACACCAAAGACAAAAAGAGCAGAAGAGCCAAAAAAATGAAATGATAGAATGGACAGAAAATTCATGAAAGAGAGAAAGAAGAGTAAGCCCAGAAAACAGAAAGGACAACAACGGATTGAATGAACAGAAAAAACAGAAAGGAGAGATAGGACGCAAAATAGACAAAAGACGTAAAGTACAGAAATAATAGAAAGGATAAAAAGAATATAGAAGTAACAGAAAAAACGGAGAGAGCAAAATATATAAAGAACAAAATGAACAGAAAGAAAAGACGATTGAAGGCACTGAAAGGGCAAGAAGAATAGAAAGAACAAAAATATAATAATGTACAGAAAGCCTAGAAGGAGCAAAAAGGGCAGGAAGAATAGACAGGATAGAAAAGATAAAAAGAAGAATTTCTTTTAAAAACAAATACCACCCCTGATACTTGTAATTTTAACGTAATAAAAGTCGAATTCTTTCGATGTATAAACATAAACAATCGAAGTTAAGCATGTAGGAGACATTGAGAATACATTTTTCTCGTTGATTATCTGCTTGAAATATGGATATTTCATATTGTGTTATTTACGCAAATGTGGTTTTTATTTTATAGAGGTTTCACACAACAATGATCACAAAAACAAATGTTATTTATTATTTATCAAAGACCAATTTTTTAATCAATGTAAGGATTCACAAAAAAATTGACATAATGTCATTTATATACATTTAATGTCTGTGTTGCAATATTTTATGAAGAGATAAACAGCGGTACGCACTTTTTAGTGGTATCAATCAGTTCAAATTTTAATATACAGTGTATTTATAAAAAAATTGGTCGAACGTCATAGACAGAACTACCCTCGCGCTGTGATGACGTCATCAACATTTTTGAAAAGCCATATGTATCACTGTGGATAGGTGCAGTGTAATACTAAGGATAGCAGTATTGTACTCCCAAATTTTCAGGAAAACGAAGTGAGCCGTTCCTGATTTAATCGATAAAATAAATTGACTCTTTCATTTCTCCTGTGTAAGAAATTTAAAAACTTTTAATGCAATGATAAATCACAAGTATAGACACATTTTGGGATCGATTTTACTCGGCAAAATTTTGAGATGACGTCATCAATTTTTTCGGAGGGGATAAACGAATAAATTTTGCTTAACGTTTAACATGATTACGATATCCTTAAAATATTTACAAGATTTCAGAGCACTTGGTTTGACAGTTTCAAAGTTATATTACAAAATATTGTTATTCAGTTTTGATTTTTTTCCAAAAATTCTGGATGTCTGGGATGAATTTTTGACACGGAATCACACACCACAAGCGCAGTGGTATCTTATTTTACAAAATTTCAAAAAGCTTTTTATTATAAATTTTAGAGATGACGTCATTCCATTGGTGGTGGGGATGCTTAGCCAAGTTTTAGTTAGCATTTAACCGTCTACATGGTATTCCTAATATACAAACAAAATTTGACAACAATCGGTCCAGTGGTTTCGGAGATTACTTGCCTAATAAAAATGGATACAGACACCAGACAGACAGACAGACAAACGGAAACGGGAGAATACTTTTTTCGTAGTATAGAGGTCACGTCCTTAGCTTACGCTCGGGAAGTAAAAATCCTAGAATGCAGCAGTTTTCAAATATCGATATTTCCGTTTTTTCAAATTAACTTTAAATAATGAAAATACTTAACAAAAAGAAAAAACAAGAAACAGATAAGATGTAGTAATAAAATATTGGGTGTATAACTGAAAAAACTAAAATACTGATATTTAAAAATTATAATTTTTGAAATTTTTTATCAACAACTGGTTATACAACTAAGAAGGGGTAAATCAGAATATTTAAAAGTAAATAGAGTATCGTATTTGAAAAATTAGTTATGCGTCGCGTTTTAAAAACAAAATACTCTGTATAATTGATTTTCATCGAACCGCATAACTTTGGACTTTTTTTCTATTTTGTATTAATAATTAATCAAAAATCTCACCCTGTATATAATACAACAAACACTAACATATAAAGTAACTGTCTACGCAGACAATAATCGATAAAATAAATTATTCATACTCCATTTTTAGATAGATATCTTTTGCAAACAGTTGAAAAAAAGATGTCTAAAGTAAAAGCAATTTCAGTAAAAATACATTCAATATTTGTTTGAAATGCGTTATGAACTTTCATGGAGAGATAAATACATAAATTTTATGTATGTAATAAACTGTAAACCCTGAACCAAGATTAAGATCCCAACAACATTTTTAAAATGTATTCAATTGTAAATATTTTTTCAGACAATTCGTACATGTTAAATTAAGAATATTGTGTGAACAGCATGTTACGCTGTACATTTCAACTTTACGTTGCTTAATAATTGTTTGAATGACGTCATCACTTTCTGAATGGGGGTAAACAGATTAATTTTGCTTAGGATTCTGCCATCTTCGGGATATCCTTAAAATCGCTATAAATAGCTAAGTAATCGGTGTTGTAGTTTTTGAGGTTATTTGGTCCAAGATTTAAATAGCCTCAAGAATTATCGAATAAATTTAAAAGTCCAGATCATTATT